ACATTTACAACATGTTAGGCAGTAGCCTGACATGTGCTTTGCCATTTACTGCCATACTTTCAGTTGCTCCAGGATAGATCTTTCTGCTCCAGCAGAGCTCCAGCATCTTATTAATACAGGGAATACTGCAATATTCCCGGGCATCAGTATGTTCCATTTTCCTGATACCTTAACTTCAGCCAGGATATTATTTTGGCATAAAGAAAGCCTAGTAACCAGGCAAAGCCTGACATGTGCTTTGCCATTTACTGCCATACTTTCAGTTGCTCCAGGATAGATCTTTCTGCTCCAGCAGAGCTCCAGCATCTTATTAATACAGGGAATACTGCAATATTCCCGGGCATCAGTATGTTCCATTTTCCTGATACCTTAACTTCAGCCAGGATATTATTTTGGCATAAAGAAAGCCTAGTAACCAGGCAAAGCAAGTGTAAACTGAAACCTAAAGAAGCAATTTTATGCCTTGCTTTGCTAAGGAATATGCAAATCTGCAAATATGAGGCTGAAGAATACAGTTTAAATCATTATACCAGTAAATGGCATGCAGCATAATTTGCCTGTGAAACAGCCAGTTGAAGAGCACTGCTCTTGTAAATCTGCCCTTTACTTTTGAGCAACACTTCTGAAATGCTGTAAAAAGTCTGCTAAAATGTAAGACAGTTGGCATTGAAAACTTCCAATTCTTATGAGAACTGTTAAAATGTCATTATTGTTTCAAATGAAGCCTCTGCATTTTTAAAAATTATTTTGAGTAAATTGAATTTTAATTCATCTAGATTTTATTACTTTAAAATGTCTATTTTGAATGGAATGATTAATCAAAATACAATTTTAGCTAGTCTTATTTAAAAATAAAAGCTTAAAATTTACTATCTTAAGCCTTAAAAAAATTTTTCATATGAAATTATACTGAGATGATCGTGTTCCTGTGGGCTTTTGTTGAAATGGCATTTTCCAGCACAATAACCCCCTACATATTACAGCAGCTCTAGAAAAAGCGTAATATAAGCAGAAAAAGGCTAGTGCCATTGCTTTATTCACAAAGAATGATTTGGAATGAAGAGAAACATTAAAAAAAAAATCATTATCTACTATTTTAATATACTGTACTGTACTCCTAGAGTATACACAAACACTTTGTGGTTATTCATAAAAGATCTTAATTATCTTGTGTTTTGGGAAACATTAACAAAGAAGAGGATGCTGACATGGGAGAAAAACTATTGTTATTAGAACAATGTTATTGTTATTTAATGTTATTGTTATTATTTAATCTAAAACATTTTACACACATCTGAATTTCAAAAATCCAATTTAATCTAGCATTTCTGTCATTATGGCCAGGCAAAAACAAAATTACACTTACCTTTTGCTGTTAGATCAGAGTGCCACCAACTGCATAGATTAAATTCCACAAGGAACCTAAAGAAATCATTAAAGTTTTCATATTATCCCACAGAATGTTTTCAAACCACTAAACTGGCAGTAGTTTGATACCATCGATTTTATTTTCAATAAAAGCTAACACAGATCTGAAATTCATGTTACTAGCATAACTCTGGGATTCTCAGCTATTGCTGTTCTCATATTTTCACTGGGTTGTTTCTTACTACTGAGAATTTATTCTGAAATTAACCCCATCAATAAATAAGAGATTTACCTATTATTTATTTAAGTTATTGATCTTACTGGAAGTGTGCATTAAAATTCTCAGTGCATGGCAGCATACAGTATTTTTACTGTTGAACATTATTGAACATTATTTCTTCATTATGCAGGGTATTTTGACACTCTAGTAAAATGTCATAGGATTATAACTGTCCTGGCTATAGTACAGGAGTGCACATAAAATACCTTCTTATATTAATTCTGGAACTAAAATAATAAAACTAATATATTCCTAGGAGCAGAAAAGATTGATTAACCAGTGTCTAATCAACTCTAACGAGACGTGTAGG